GAAATTAAATTCGGCAACAGATACCAGTGACCGTACTATAAACTACTGATGATTCTAAAAATACCAGTTTCGACACTGCAGAAGGAGCAGAAGAGGAGATAGATGAAGTTAATGATGGATCGACCTAACCTCTCCTTACCCTTAATCCTACCCCAAGATGACACCAAGGTCTTAAAGAAGTCGAACAAGCAGCAGCCTACGTGGATAGAATATCTTACCTATACCCTCCGCAGTCAGCACTGCCATCCTCTTCCCCCGTAATAAATTCATGACCACTGTATGGTGGACTCTTACGAGTATACAACAATGAAACTATTGTTTCTGTCACCCCTCCCATGATTCCTGAGCATTGCCGACAACTCTATGAAAACTTTGAAGAAGAGGAAGATCCTAGGGAACCGACAGGAGGATCCCTCATTGAGGATGAACGAGATGTCAGATCAACTACAGATGAATTAACCTCCTCCTTCTGAAGCCAGATGATAGCAGGATACTGCCATAATGTGATCTATTTCAAAGCTATGGATAGCTCTGGATATGGAGATCTGGCCCCCTACAATATATCCAATGGAATGGTCTACACCAGTATCCGTTATGGTGAACATTGCCTATACATCCTGAAAGGCCATATGTTCAATGGAATGACCATTAGAAAATATGTCATTACCGAAATCCATAACAAAGGACACCATAGTATGGACCACAGCCTCCAATATGCTTCAAAATATATTTACTGGCCTGAAATGCGAAAGGACTTCGGCGATTTTGTTAAACAAGGTGAACTCTACCAGGCAAATAAGGAATGAATACAACTACCAGAAGGGAAAGCGCGAACCCTCCAGCTGCCATGTAAAATATTCGAATCGTATACCATTCATTTCACAGGACCATTCAACAGGTCGGCGGGATATGACATTATCTTGGTAGCTGTCGATTGATTCTCTGGATATACATGGCTCATACCAATGAAAGTTACCGACTCCTCTAAAGACACCTAGAGTAACCTCCAGCAATACCTGTTTACCCCCCATAGATACCCATTATCTATTGTCAGTGATGCTGATCCCTGTTTCACCGTCAGATTCTGGAACAAACCTTGACCTCCCTTGGAATCAACTATATTATGGCTGCTCCTGGATATCATGAGATGAATGACCAAGCTGAATGGAAGATCCACGAAGTCAAGACCAGAAATAGGAACATGATCAATGAATGACAGACCAACTGGGAACCAGCCCTCATTGAACTCGCCGCATATATTAATGCCAGATATTCAGACACCATGGGAATGTCTCCATACAAGGCAATCTTCAGCCACCAATACCCTCTCCTACCTATAACTCTATTCAAGAATTCCTCAGTCCCGGCCTCCGATGACCACCTAAACCGCCATCAAGCAATTCGGAATGATGCTTTCCAAGCTGATATAGTTGCCCGATACTGCAGCACCACTACTGCTCAGAAATGGCGACGCAAACATGTTCCTATTCTACCAGGTGATATGCTCATGGTACATAGAAACATGTTTATTATCAATATCGGACGCAGCAAGAAACTACAACCCCACTGGCGAGGACCCTTTAAGGTCATATCCTTAGACCAGCATACAGAAAACAACACTGTCCAAATGGATGGATGCATATACTGCCGCAATACTGCTGTCCTCTAGGCCTCTGCTGTCAAGCAATTCTACCCAAATAACGACTCCAAGTTTCCTCCAAGAATCCACTCTTGACCCGCACTTATTATCATTGGAGTACTACCGTTTAGCACTCGGATGTTATTGT